ATGGAAACAAAAACCGAAGTTTTCTACTACCCCCGTTTCCCCCTCTCACACACATAAGTGTGTAATTTACTCGAATGCCTTTCCTTTCATATATTTTAAATGACTTGCAGATTTATTACTGTATTACCTCATTATGACTGTAACAAAAGATCTGTGCCGCACAGTGTGCGGCTGATGCTCCTTAGTTATGAACAGCTCGTGCAAACGTGCGTATGTGTGTGTGTGTTCCTCCATGAACGCGCACAGCTCTGGTTGCAGTTTCGCTTGTCGCCAGAGGGGGCGTAGTTCTGCAAAAACTCAGAGACTTGCGTTTAGCTCCTTTAAAAAAAACTTTTGCTGATAATTTACTCACCCCCATGTCATCCAAGATGTCCATGTCTTTTTTTCTTCAGTGGAAAAGAAATTAAAGGTTCTCTAAGCCAGCCTTTCTCAAACTTTTTTCAGTCAGGGCACCTTTCAAAAGTGCATAAAATCTCAAGGCACCCCAGTGTAAAATTTAATTTAAAAACACTGCATAACCCACATGTAAATGCAAATGTCTTGTTTAGTTAGACAGAACAGTAATGAACATAGCATAATATGAACTGTAAATAACAATAATAATAAAAACTGTATAGTACCTTTAAAAACAAAGGTTTGCAAAGTAATTCACAAAATAATTAATCAGAGACACAAATGCCATAAAACCGTAAGAGGTGGACCGCCCAATACAAGAACCCAATAACAAATCCAGACCAGGAGAACTCAAATGAAGTGCAGGATGCAGTTAAAAAAAAAAAGGGGGGGAAGACATTAATATATATATATATATAAACAATGCAATAAGAAAAAGATGCATGTTAAAAAATGCACCAGAGATAAGCAGGAATGTTTTTCCATATAGTGCTTGTTTTTTTTTATCCGTGCCATGCACATGCACACACACACACACACACACACACACACACACACACACACACACACACACACACACACACACACACACATACACATACGCCCACACACACAAACAATAATCCACAACGAGAGAGGGAGAACGATCTACATGCGTGCATGCAGCGCGTATACGCGCTCACACAAGCCGGGGGTGGGGGTGACCACAATCGAGACGTGAGCCTGGTGCGACGCACACAGCCGCCCTATCCTGGCAGGGTTGGATGAGAGGTGGTCAGGTGTTTGCGGAATCATCCCTTGGTTTGATAGTTTCATCCCATATATTAGACACAACGGGAGAGGGCATGTTGCATCCCCAGTACTGAGGAAGTAGGCTGAGGCTCCATTTCACAGAAAAACTGTCCGGTTCTTGGGGGGATTTTCTTTTCAAAAAAAAAAGAAAAAAAAAAAAGATCCATGATGCTGTCACTAAAGTGACCTCAATTTACGTTTATTTTTACGTTTCTGTCAGTCTGAGGTGTTGTTGCTATAACGCGTTGCTATGGATTGCGTCACTTCCGTCAAGTTTCGTGTCTTGCGAGACGGATTTTTATGCTTAATTTTATATATTAATTTATCTAAAATGAATTTACAATTTTATTAATACGTTCATATGTTTAAAAAGAAGAATGTAAATTCAAATATATTTATATATGAAATGTCAGTTGTTGTTTTTTTTCTGTTTGTTTTTTAGCCTACGTAATTTTTTGGCGGCACCCCTGACACAGTCAGGGGGCACCCCAGTGTGCCGCGGCACCCACTTTGAGAAAGGCTGCTCTAAGCGATGTGGGGCCAAAACATTTTTTGTCACATACATCAAACATCTCCTCACTATCGGCTAGCTGCCTGTCCCCTAAACACACTGTAAAAAAAACGCGGTCTCTGTAGACACCACAGGCTCCACAAACGGCAACAAAAACAATCATGTCTCACCCGGACCTCGAAACCTAACAAACAGTGTTCCAGCCAATCACTGGCAAGAAGTATTTGAGGGTGGGTCTGGGGGGTTAGTGCGCGTGCACATGAAGGGGGTGTGTGTGTGTGAAGTAGAGCGAAGCATCAGAAGGAAGTTTGAAAAATGACCGAGACACGACCAAAGAGACGTCGTTCTGAGGAACAAATTAAAAAGAAGAAGGAGTCGGATAAAGAACGTGCGAAGTCCCGAATTTACATCGGTAGCAAAGCTTTTGAACGATGGCGAGAACTCCGGCGGCAGAAGGGCTTCCAGTCCGACATTCAGGTTGCTCTGTTTTTGCTGGACAGGTGGCTAACGTTAAATTTTTTTTTTTATTCTAAATTGACGCTTATGTTCGCCAAACCCACACAAGGATATAATTAGCTAGAACTATGCACAGTATGCAGTCAGCGAAATGCACGTTCACAATTACTTCAGGAAGCACGGAAGGGAGGGGGAGGAGATGAGATGCGGAGGAGGGAGGGTCTAGCTAGCCTCCGATTTGTTTGAAAATATTGAACGTCAACACCCAGGATCGCTCAGAGAACCTTTAAGGTTTTTGATTAAAACATTCCAGGATTTTCTTCAAATAATGGACTTTACTGGGAACCAAATGGTTCAAGGTCCAAAAGACAGTTTCAGTGCAAACTGCAAACTGTTCAAAGGGCTTTAAACGATTCCAGATGATGAATAAGGGTCTTATCAAGCAAAAAAATCGCTCATTTAATAAATAAATAACAAAGATTAAGTTTTATAAGCTCAAATGCTCGCCTTGCTCTGTTCTGTGATGCGTGTTCATGTCTCTCCTGTTTGAACTCATTCATCAAAATGAATAAATCTTTTTCTGATTCAATTCGTTCATTTAATGTGTTGAATGAACCAAAAGACTCGGACAATGATTTGTTAATTTTCCTTCATATTTCGTTTATTCGATCACTTTAGGTTCACACATAGGCGCCGGACATCATCACATTTTTGTATACATTTTTATTTATTTACATTAGTAATCTACAGGACATCGTCTTTCAAAACATGACCTGTGCGAAAGAGACAAAAATAAATGAATGTGTTTCTGTCCCCAGCACATTTCAAACCTCACTGACGCCCATGGGTTCACATTCAGATTCAGTGATTACTGTCCCTCATCTTTGACAAAACTGGCCCTGATTTGTTTTAAGATAACTGGGTCACATTTGCTGCAACATATGTGGGTCATGTTTGGTTTACACCCAGATTAGTCATTGTTGATTGTGCAACATTTTTGCCATAGGTGGCCCGCATTTGGTTTGTGATATTTGGACCATATTCATTATTTATCATATGGGCCACTTTAGTCCCCCATTCAGATTACATTGCCATGAGTGCCGCATCTTTGCCTAAAAAGGCCCACATGTGATTTAAAATATTTGGGCCATATTTGCCATTTTAATGTGGGCCACTTCAGACATACATTTGTCGGGCCATAAGAAGGCCTACGGTGCCGCATCATCGCCTGAAGTGGCCCACATCCGTCTGCTATCTGAGGAGCGAGTGAAACACACACAAATGTATGGAAGCTTATGTGTAGCATTATTCAATTTGAAATGTAATATGCAAAATGACAATGCAATATGTAAAATGGCATTGCATTTTGTATTTAAATTTACATTTTACATTACCATTCTAGCAACGTTTGGTGCAAAATGAAAATGAAAATGAAAAGACATGTGTGCCCCGCAATGGATGTAGCAAAATTCATGCACTTTGAAAATGCAATCCAAGCCGACCACGCCCCCTCCTGGCCTGTCAATCACTGCATCAAGGCGGGCCTCGGCAACAACAGGTAAACATGGCATATGGCTATGTTACGTGTTTTGAACTGTTGAAAAAATTGCCGTGGCAGAGCTAATACAAGCGTTAAATCATTTAGCAGATAAAGTGGAGCGTGAACAGAGAAAAGGTAGTACAAAGTATTTCCGAAGATTATTACGCGTATATTAAAATATAATTAAGTTGTTGTTTACTTCAGTCCACACTGCTGCATTCGGCGATGTAACGTCCATGGACTAACTCCATAACTTACAAGGCAGCGATATCTTTAACTTTTAACCCATACATCTCTATGGCCTCGCCAGGGATCTCCACAGGTGGCCTCCCCGCTCCCCTAGGCCTATCCGAATATCCAACAACGTACTGTTCTATCACCTACATACACATAATAATCTTCGGAAATACTACCTTTTCTCTGTTCACGCTCCACTTTATCTGCTAAATGATTTAATGCTCGTATTAGCTCTGCCGCAGCAATTTTTTCAACAGCTCAAAACACTGTGTTTACCTGTTGTTGCCGAGCCTCGCCTTGATGCAGTGATTGACAGGCCAGGAGGGGGCGTGGTCGGCTCGGATTGCATTTTCAATGTGCACATTGAATTTTGCTACATCCATTGCGGGGCATTTCGTGAAAATGCAATCGCGAGTGTCTTGACTGTGAGTGTAAATGCAATTAATAAAAATAGCATTTGAATGATCATTTTGCCACAGTTTTTGCTTGAACATGTTACACATATCTAATCATTTCTGTAATGCATTTTCATTTTAATTTTGCCACTTATAAAGCGTTTCAATATGCATATTAAAACTAGTGTATGAAATGGCAAATGTAAATTATGTCATTTCATTTTCATTTTGCACCAAACGTTGCTAGAATGGTAATGTAAAATGTAAATTTAAATACAAAATGCAGTGCCATTTTACATATTGCATTTCAAATTGAATAATGCTACACATAAGCTTCCATACAAATGCTGTTAACTGGGGAAAATGTTTAGAGGAGAAGAGACTTCATCCACAGAACAAACACAATATACTGTACATCTGTGCATCAGCAACACACACACACACACACACACACACACACACACACAACTAACTTCATATACAATGTCACTTATTTCTAACACGCATGCTTACACACTGAGTTTGAGTCTCTTCCACCTGTATGAAACACATTTACACATGTATTTCTCCTCATAGACAGCAGTGAGACTCTTCTGTGGATCACCTGATGGTTTCTGCTCCTCTCATCTCCGTCTCACAGATTTAAACCTTGATGGAAATCCACTGATGTTTACCAATTGATCTTAATCTACATTCATATACTGTAAAGTGGAACAGAAGAGAAAAAAATCAGTGTTCAGTGGAACAAAGTGCAAATTATTATTTCAATTACTGTTTTTGTTTTATTTCAATAAGTGTTTTTTGAGTAAACATAAGTTAAATTGAATTCAGATTAATAACCAACTTTACATGATCTTGGATAGAGATATTTGTGTATTTAAATATAATAGATGTAAAGCCTGAATCATGTTCATATGTGTGTCTGTGTTCGGATCTTTTTAGATTTTCAGCCATCCGAAAGGGCTAGTGACAGGCAGCACACATGGCATGACTCGTGTTTGTCATTAATCTCGTTTTTGTTTATTTATATAAATGACCACAGGTCATAAACCTGAAATGACAAATAAAACAGTAATACAAATATGTCCATTGAATATATAATGCAAATAAACAAACATGAAATGGTTACAATACAATAACTAGATCTATTTCTGTTATAAATAAGAATACACCATCATATAATTCCCTAAAAAGTCTTACACAGTTGTGTCAGAACACCACAGAAACTACATTTCCCATCATGCACACTCAAAAAAATGATGTGTTGGCTTTACTTAACTTTTTCATGTAACAGGTTCCACCGGTTCCACATAACTTTGTTTTGTTAAACAAACATAATTTGTTCATGTAACTTCAACATCATGGAAGTCATTTTAAGCCATCCAATCAAACTCTGAGCTGAGTGTTAAAGTTAATGAGACATTTAAGTGAATAACTGAGTGATGATTGAGCATTATTGAAGACACCTGATGATCACAAGCAGAATCACTGAAGGAGAAAATCACAAATTGTAAGCCACCGTTATGGAGATCAGTGTTTGCTTTAGTTGGGCTCTTGACCCCTATATTATTAACTTTATATTATGTTTGGCTGTACATGAGTTATAACAGCCAGATGATCACATAGAAAAGGTGGAACTGGGGATTGAACCACCAAACTTCTGGTTTGTAGTCAAACTGCATGAACCACTGTTAAATTTAATTTATGGATCATACCAGCACTGCTGTTGTAAAACATACAATTTTAGCCTTTTCAAAGAAATTCAAATGATCAAATCAATAAACAAAAAAAAATTTCTGGGTGCCACCAATCAATATTCATTCATGGCTCCCATCATGCATTGCTGCATGAATAAATAATGAGCTTAAGACACCTAAAGCAGAATCACAAGGGAAAAAAATCGAAAATTGTAAGCCACCGTTATTGAGATCAGTGTTCGCTTTAGTTGGGCTCTTCACCCTTATCTTATCAACTTTATATTTTAATTTACTGTTGCATCTGAGTAATACCTGCTAGATGAACAAAGATAAACAATTATAAAATGATGTTGGACATATAATGACATTCATCATTTGAAATTTATGTCCGTAATTTATTCTGTTGGTTAGTGTATAACTGAGATTCTGCATAAATATCCAGAATGTTCTCAAAAGTTGTTTTTTTTACAAAAAAATATTTCTTTAAAGCACACACAGACCTCAAGATTCAGTCAATGCTTCTCAACAACGGTGACGAGTAGAATATTCAAGTAGGAAAAGTAAATTACATAGACAATTCAGATCATAATTTATTTATACCGCAATGCATGATGGGAGACATTAATGAGTTGTGATTGGTGGCAACAAGGACTATTAATGTCACCACGATTGAGATAGACAGGATGATTATTGATCTCTGTTTCTACATAAAGATTAAGTGATTTGATCAGAATAGTTTTATTAAATATTCTCTGTTATAAGAAAATACAGATATGTTGTATAATCACTAAACTGTTGCTAGCAAGTTAATCCTAACCATCAGAATTACAAATTTTCAGATCACAGCATGATTATGTCAAAACATAACCAACACTATCAGATCACAGTTTTCTTTGTTCATTTGACTGTTTTAAATCAATCACAGCAGCCAAACAAAGTTTAAAGTAAAAGTATAAGTGTCAAGAGCCCAACTAAAGCAAACACTGATCTCCATAACGGTGACTTACAATTTGTGATTTTTTCCTTCAGTGATTCTGCTTGTGATCATCAGGTGTTTTCAATAATGCTCAATCATCACTCAGTTATTCACTTAATTGTCTCATTAACTTTAACACTCAGCTCAGAGTTTGATTGGATGGCTTAAAATGACTTCCATGATGTTGAAGTTACATGAACAAATTATGTTTGTTTAACAAAACAAAGTTATGTGGAACCGGTGGAACCTGTTTACATGAAAAAGTTAAGTAAAGCCAACACATCATTTTTTTGAGTGCATAGCATCGCTCGTGCGGAGTATAGTTATCACACAAGTACGCAAGCAAAGTGCATTTATCATTATAGCGATAACACTTCAACTCAATGCTTTACCAAATGAATACAACACCGTTGCTTAAGCACAACTCTCTACTACAACTCTCTGGGAATTATCCAGCGTTTAAACATATCGCCAGCCGAGAGAGAGCTGAATAATACACGCGCGCCGCTAACCAAAATATAATTAAGTCTCTCAGCACGGACTAAGCGCGGCAAATGTCAACAATCACTCACGCATGAAACTAAACATTCCCCAATTACGTGCCTCCTAGTAAACATTTCAAAAAGTTCTGAGTTCGCTACATACCAACGGGCTGTGTGCTCCTGACGACGGGCTGTGAATCAACGCACTGAATTAACCACAACAGACGCCATTCCACTCCTTCTATGAAGCTTACGGCGCGACTGCGCATGCTCATCCCAAATGACTCACCTCACGGAATAAATAATCATTACGTAATAAATATAATAGCTTAATAAATTCTACTGTTCTCAATATTTAAATAGACGTATTAATTCTTATTTTACTTTCTGTTTTATAACCATTCATTTTACAAATATTTTTCTCTAATGACTCAAAGAACCAAACAGTCTGTGTGTGTCGGTGCGACTCCTATTGAGTCTCTGTAAAGGAGAAACTAATGAGTGTACGGCGTATGGAATAAACCACAGCGAGCAAATACTAATGTTATTTTGAGTTAAACACAAACCTTTAGTTAAAGCCGTTTGTCCTCTAGTTTAAACATGTTTGTAGGCTCTTAGTAAATAACTGAGAGTAAAGTAAGTGTCGAGTAGTGTGACGTGTTGCTTGTCACAGTAAAAACACACTAGAGACAGAGACATTGCTCATGTGAGCTGGACGCTGTGAGCTGAAGCTGGAACTGCACTGATTTTAGCAGGAGTGCAGCGTTTCCTACAATCTGACCAAGTCTGTTTCACACTCAAATGATTCACTTCTACTGACACAGTTCATAAAGCAGGTGTTGATGTATAAAGCTGTGACAGTGAGCTTTTCTTCTCTTTCCTCCTTTGTGTTCAACATTTCAATAACTTCACACTATGTTCTCACACAAACCCTTTTTTGCAACAAAAAGGTTTGTTCACATATCAGAGGTAAATGAAGATGTCTTTAATATCTCAGTGATGTTTCCTCACCTCAGGACACAGTTTGAGTCTCGTAGCTCGTCTCTGAGCCGCTGCTTTGAGTCTCCGATCTTATTGTCTCTCAGATCAAGCTCTTTTAAAAACTGCAGAGCTTTTGAGTTCGTCAAAGACTGAGTTAAAGAAGAAACATCTGTAATGCCACAGTGATATAGACTAGAGAGACACAAACAGAGGAAGAGAGATTGTCTTACAAACAAATCATGAATGTGAAGAATTTTACACAGATATAATGTGAACTCAGACTCACTGTCAGATATTGAGAATAAAGTGTTTTAGTTTAATAAACCCAGAAAGTGCACTGCTATAACCAGTGAAACAAAAGCCCTGGTGTCTTCAAATAAATAAACTTCATCACTGTAATTGCTGTACAGTATAATGACACTAACTGTAGTTTCTCCAGCTTGAATTGTGGGTTCATCAGTAGATCACTGAGGTTTGTCACTCCAGAGTCTCCTAGTTTATTCCCGCTCAGGTCCAGCTCTCTCAGGTGTGACGGGTTTGATTTCAGAGCTAAAGTCACATCAGAACAACCTTCATCTGTCATAACACAGCAGCTTAACCTACATTAGCAGAGGGAGAGAGAATTTTGAATTTAAAAACACCTTTATTTAAAACAATAAGGTGTTCACAATAATATTACAATCTCACAAACAATAACAAATATAATGTATATTCATGCTAAACTGAGAAACATTTTAAAAACCAAGCATTAAATCATCATCATCATCTACTGTGCAAAGGACCATTTATCCCCCAAATGTACATGAAAGATTCTACACAATTTACCATTTTATAATAGGCGTGCTCTATTCTAAGTCGAGCCGCCACCAAGCCAACAACTTATTGTTTCTGGATTTCCATATAGCAAGTTTTGCAGTACCAACTGACTTTTCCTCTTTACAGAAGGGCCATTCTCTTGCCATTCTCCCAGAACAATAGTCACATTCAGAGAAGGAAAAACATAAGGAACCCCCCTTCTCCATTGATCAGCTGCAACATAGTCATTTATAAAAATCTTATGGTCCGCTTGCAAAGACTTCAAAATTCCAGTTGTAGCTTGTTTCAGCAGCCTCAGAGATCTCACTCCAGTCCTTTCACTTAATTCCTCTAAGCTCTTGGTCAAAATATGTCCCAACTTTGTGCAACCTGCAGCAGTAAAACATGCACGTAAACTGGGTCCAGACACAAGTCTTGATGGTAAAAAGTCATTAAGAAAAAGTGGCTCTTCAAAAAGCCATAATCCAGCATGTGTATTCGGTGTCCGTGAAATGGTAAACACTGTCCATGCCTCCAGAACTGACTTATAAAACACAGTCAATTTCACACAGTCCTCATTCTGGAGCTCCATTAGGAACAGATGTTTGCCCAATCCCATGCCTCTGACCCTCCTGAGAAGAGCACAAGCCACCTATTGCCATGAAGCATACGGTTCATACAACAGTCTCTAAGGGGCTTGCAACCGGAAAGCCATGATTCTTGATATGATATCTATCAATCCTTGACCTCCCTCTTGAACCGGAAGGTAAAGAGCAGCAGCACGAATCCAATGTTGTCCAAACCAAAAGAAATCAACAAGTTGCCTTTGAATCTCCTCAATAAGCCCAACAGGCGGCTGTAGCACAGTTATTTTATGCCACAGGGTAGAAGCAACCAGATTATTGGTCACTAAAATCCTCCCCCTATAGGACAACTGCGGCAGCAACCATTTCCATTTAGACAACTTGCTGCACACTTTCTCCACTAGCCCCTCCCAATTTTTCTTTTGATAATCATTTGACCCCAAACAAACTCCCAATAATTTAAGTCCCTCTTGGCCCCACTTTAGGTCTCCGGGTAACTTTGGGAGACTCTCAAACTCCCCTTTGCCAGCCCAAAAAGCTTCACTTTTTGCCCAATTCACTTTAGCTGATGAAGCTTTCTCATAAAGACTAAGTACCTCAGATAGACAATTAATATCTCCAGCATTGTTTACAAAAACTGTAATATCATCAGCAAAGGCAGATAGATACATTCTTGTGTCTAAATTTATTTGTCTTATAATACGCATTTATTTTTAACTGATTTGCTCAACGACTCCCAAATGATTCGTTCGACGATTCATTTTCCCAAACACCTCCTTTGAGTGACGCGAATCTGCGGTGATTGGTCAAATGACCCAGTCAGTTGTTATTGGTAAACCGTAGGCAGAGACTGTCGGCAATGGAACGCCCATAACCAGGATTATAGCTTGTCAAGTGTTGAAAATTGTATATAGTGTTTGAACAAACGTGTCAGAAAAAGTGCAGTTTCCACACAGTCCCTTACTCGCGACTCCGTCAAGAGCGAGCTTTCCCAGCGAAACTCACATTGCGGGGGCTTTTGAGGGGCAGTGCTTATTATATAGAGCGAAGTCATATTTGGCTAAGTCGTTTAGGAGGTAATTGCCATTTTTCAAAGAATATCAAAAACAAAACTAACTTTACCCCGCTTAGAAGCTGCGCGGAGTGTACACAAAACACACACATCACAATATAACTATATTGTGCTAGAAAACATAGCAGCAAACATTATTAATAATACTTACAGATTGTGATTCGGAGGAGGACGAACCTGATCCATATACACTGGATACTGAGCCCTCCTTCAGAAACAACCGGCTTGCGAATCCACATTTGAATTCATTTATGTTTTTGAATGATTCGTCATTAAAATGATGAGAACACAAGGTTCAGGCTATACTGTTGTGGTATCGTTGCAAATATGAACTCTGACCACTGATTCTTCACATGCTCGTCCCTGGGCAATGAAAACAAGTGGCTGAACTGTCTTTGCAATGTAGAACACAGCGTCTTCTCGACATGATGCGATTCAGCTGAAGGTCTTCTGGACTAGACTTCAAGTGTACACTCCTGTCTGCGCGCGCAGGTGTTGGGAGCGGCCAATGAGTTAATGTTTTGTATCTACATCACGACGAAACAGCTAATGACTCGTTTCAAAAACAATTCATTTCATAGACTCAGAGTCGACTCTCACTTTTGAAAGACAATAACTTTATATACGGTGCACTTTCAGATATAAATCTTTGCAGGATGTTTCCATTACCTTAGAGCTATATTCCACACTACATAAAAATCCATGATAGGTGCTCTTTAAGACTTTCACTAAGTACATCTTAAAAATGTAGGCGCTCCTGTCCCACAGTTGGTGCATAAATATTTATCAGAAAAACAAGCATCTCTTGAACTTGAGCTTTAACCCCCAACAATCGGCCCTTCACTGGTTCCTCTATACTTATAATATCCGCCTTTATTTTTGAAGAAGAAAAGATGCCAACACCTCTACTTAAATTTGTCCCATGACTGAGTATTTTATGTCCTTTTCACCACAAATTCCACTCAACTTCATTCATCAAATCACTATGAGTTTCTTGGAGAAAGACGATATCAAGCTTTTTTTGCTCAGTTATTTCATAGACTGTAGCACGCTTTACACTATCTCTCCCACCATTAATATTTAAAGAGCCTATCCTCAAAGCCTCCATATATAAAATTAAGTTGAGAAATAAAGAATAAAGCATGATAGAAAAGCAAATAAAAGACACCATGTAATACATGGTTTAAATTTTTTTGATTTACTTTTTCTCTTACTCATTGCTTTACTTTTTCTGATAGTGGTAAGAAGCTTTTTCAAACGAAAACGCTTCTTCTCACAAAGTTCATCAACTCCAACAGTCTTCTGATAAAAAAGTAACAGAGAGGACAAACTTGTCTACATCAGAGAAGAAATCATTTATGTTGATTTGTTTACCATACGTTTCATCCATAAACATGTTAATTTCTTCCAGACTATACATCGAATCTTTATTCAAACCTCCCGAAAAACAGTCAGAGATGCATTAAATACACTTCCCTGTGAACTACCATCATTTTCACATATAGAAACTTGTGATCAGTGTTGGGAGTAACGCATTCCGCATCACGCGCTGTGCGTAGGGCAGGGCACCAAGTGCTGAGGGGGCACCAAAAATATCCTAAAGAAATATCAATCTTCAAACTTCTTGTTATAATCAGATTCAGCGCGTTCTTCATCTTCAATCCGCAGCGCCGCCAAGCAGAGAGCACGTCAGAAACAGCTGACAGGCTGTGTGTGTGTGTGTGTGTTCAGAGCCTCATTGGTCTGTCACCACTCGTCAATGTCAGAATATTTGAGATGGCCAATCAAATCAAACTAGGTGGGCTTTATGTTCACAGACGCTGAGCGCGAATTTTAACAGTGCAACTCGACGCTTCAGTGTACGGTCAAGTGCGAGGTCAAGGGCATCATAAAGGAATTATGCTTAAGGGCACCAAAATGGCTAGCAGCAGCACTGCTTTTTGCTGTAACGCAGTAGTGTAAGGCATTACTAATCAATTTTCAGTAATATTTTACTCGTTACATGTTCAGTGAGGCTTGTATTAGAACAGACTTTTAGTTTTAATTGTAAAAAAAAATAAATAAATAAAAAATACAGCAAGACCGTGAGACATTAACGAATGGACACAAGTTACCTGTTCGTAGTCAGTCAATAGCCACGTGTGGTGTCCAAGTTTGTAAATAAAGACTGATATATCTGTATAGAAATTTATTTTTTACAGGAGTGCAGTGAGGCATGATTTCGGCCTCTGTGCTCGCGCTGGCCAGTGGAAAAGCGCCTAATGGGTGAGGATGGCATGAAGAAGACCACATTCGTGAGATGGACGTATGCGCATTAGGCTATTCGTTCTGTGTTTTCTGTCTAAACAATTAGGCTATGTTTAGGTGGTATTTGTCATGTTTTCCTCACGCAATCATGTTTTTGATGCGGTGGTGACGTGTTCATGTAGTAAGGGTGGCAATAATAAAGCTCGTAAAAGCTGATGAAAAAGCAAAGATTATGAATATGTCAAATATGCCTATAGCAAGGAGACTTGTTTAGTAATAAAGATGAAGTTGACAATGCTGACTCGCGATCTTCGCAGTAGGCTAGTGAATGCAAAATGCATATTTCATTTCATAAGCAGAGAGCAGTCTGTTTTCTTTCGTTTTGAATTGTTCTGTTTACAAGCAGACATTTCAGTATAGATATATTTTTTCAGGTCTGTGGAGTAGGCTATACTTATACGCTGAGTTTCGGTATAGCCTATTGGCTATTTATGAGACGCGTACCAGCACGCCCCACATCAGGCACTTGTGTCTGCTGTCTCCACACTCGAAACATCTTATGCTGCCGGTAGTTGCATACACCATATATAATCTTCCCTCGTGTTTTACACAAAAATTAATATCCAGTGTATTCTCAGGCGATTCTAGCACCATGTAAACATACCGTCAGAAAGATGCAACATGCTTCAGAACCGGATGTTTACATCCAAGCGCAACAGTTTTAAAGGGACTAACAACTTTTCCAAACTCACGTTGCAAAACGTCAT